TTATGGATCGCTACACGTGCCAACAGTTACCTCAACTGTCCTTGTGCCTTCTCATGTCTCCGCCGATCGTTCAACTGCTAGTCGCACCCACCGAAGAGTCGCTCGAACCGTCACCGAGTCGTAGTACCGTAGTCCGTCGGTTCTTGACCGCTGAATGTGAATCCAGACGGCAGGGCATCCGGGTCGTGAGAAGACACACTCTTCTCACGCGCGACTTCTACTGGCACCACCAGTATAAGTGGGTGCGCAAGTACGTACGTGCTTGCGAGGTTTGTCAACGCGTGAAGCCTGCGCTGTTCACGCAGGCTCCTCTTCGATCATTTCCGACGCCGTCGGAGTGTTGGCAGTCCATGCCCACGGACTTTGTCTTCGGTCTTCCGCCTGACAGCAAGCGGAGGACGGGCATCGTTGTCTTTGTGGACCGATTCAGCAAGATGGTCTATCTTGCTGCCGTCCCGGCTACTGTTACAGCCGCGCAGACTGCGCGACTGTTTGTTGACATGGTGTTCAAACACCATGGCATGCCGCTCGACATTGTGTCGGACCGTGATCACGCTTCACAGCGCGGTTCTGGCAAGAAGTGTTTACACTTCTTGTCAATATCGACTGTGGATCATCCGCAGTCGGGCGGACAGACGGAACGCGTCAACCGAGTACTGGTTGACGCGCTGAAGAGCTACGCTCACTCGTTCCCGCATTGGAGCGAGTGCTTGCCGATGGCAGAGTTTGCCATCAACAACTCGGTGCATGCCTCGACAGGGCATACACCGTTCTGTGTGGATGCCATGCGGCATCCACATTTGCCGAGCATGCTCGGAGGGATAGCTTCCTCCTTAAGTGGGGGAGGATCTACGGTTGCGCCTGAACAACCGCAGAGGACAGCTGATAGCACACTATCAGCTGCGGTGACGCGTGCTGCGTTTCGTTCGAGCAGGAACGAGCACGAGATGATAGCGAGCAGGCAGGGCCTACTGCGGACGAAGGCGACGAGCTGAAGGAGTTCAGCTCGAATGTGCTAGACTTTGTCCAGCGAAGACAAGCCGTAATACGGTTTGTACAAAATTTTATCGCAGCTTCTGCCGGTCGACAGAAGCTGAATGCGGACAATGTTGGCAGGGGCAACACAACTGAATTCGAAAAGGGTTCATTGGTTTTGTTAGCTGCACAAAACCTGATTAAACATGCAGTGTCTAACTTTGGAGCAAGTAAGCTTGCTCCAAGATTCATCGGGCCGTTCACAGTACTTGAACGACACGGCAACGCGTACCGACTGAATGTCCAGCATGAGGCTTCTTCCAACGTTCTACGTTGGGCGGTTAAAGCCGTACGTGCTCCGGCCATCACAATGCTTTGTTTTAATTAAACAGCCGGATTTCCCTTGTCCGCTCCAGTTCTGAGCCGGTTGTTCAACGCACTAAGGACACAGCAGCCAACCCGAAAGCCAACCACCTTTCTCTCCGGCACAACAAGAGTAGCCCAACCGCCAGGCGCATCCGGTCCCCGAAAGGTCCAGACGCAGCCCAACGTAGGCCGCCACAAGC